GTTGGCAACTGTATATAATAAACAAAAATATATTGCTTTTTATATGGTTATTGTGAATTCTAAAATCTAAAGAAAATGTGTTCTTATGTGGGAGGGGGCCCTGTAAGAAGAAAGTGTCTAGGGCCCCAAAGTAGGTTAATCCGGCCCTGCCTCGAGATAAGTATGAGGTAGTCCTTTAGTAGGGTAGGAGACATCACGCTAATTAAAAATAATTATTTAGTGTTATTAAACATCCTATAAATACAATACTTTAAAATAGTTTTAATTTGTTTATTTACCTTCGCTGGTAACCCTCGATATTAAATGCCATTTTTTCAACAAATTTCCCGTGAGTCAATGCGCGACGTTCATTGAGTCACGTGATTTTGTGAACGAGCGCCGCAACGATTTTTCTTTGGAGTTAAAACGTAAACCCTATACTTCTGCTTGCCGCGTACAAGTAACGTTTGAACTTGTGCCGCAACATCTTTATTGGTGAGTTACACTCCTTTGCCTACGATAGACAAGTTAATGCGTCCAACAGAAGCAATTTAATGTTATTTAATCATAGTATTCCGCACGAGTTGGACATACAGGATTATATTGTTAACCTATTATCTAAGGAATTGGATGTAGCTGATCTTTCGGGGCATAATATAATCGGGGTATTTCCCGTTTGCGGGGTAAAGCTCGGCAATTCTATTGTATCCAGTTGTCGTCCTGGAAATGTCGAAATTATTTATTACAAAAATTTCGGACGAAAATTCAACAAGAAGGTAGGGAATGTCCGGTGAAATTTAAGTTGGCGACAGATCTTTTGTTTAATTCGCGTGTCCGCCGTAAAAACCTGGTTACTTTTTTGAAAGACTACCGGGAAGCTGGTCTTCGTGGTTTTTGCGAGATGACGTATTGTATGTTGACGACAAGAGATTTAGGTATTAAATCTTTGGTCATCGATTAACAGAAGTTCCTGTCTCTTTTCTACTTTGAATTTTCCTTCCCGCAAAAGAGAATGTTTGGCGAGACTTTCAACTTCATCGTGTCCGGTCCAGTTTAGTTCGGGTTGTTATTTGGCTCGTTTATTTTTAATTGCTATGGGTTAAACATCAAATGCTCAATGTTGGATTATATGATTAAAAAGCCAGATTTAATTTGTTTGGCCCTTGTTGAGACCTGAGTGGTTTCAATAGAAGGATATGTTCTTGCTAAGTCTCTTCCAGTTAACTGGAAGTATTTTCTGATTCCAGCTGAAAAGCCATTGGCCTGGGTATACCCCATGGTGGAATTTTCTTCTTCTTTGACGAAGTTAGAAGGGACTTCGTGTTATTGGAAACTTACTGTAATATGATTGTGATTGGTTTATCACATTACTCGGCTTCCAAACCTAGGAGTATCTTGGTGTTGTAGTATATGCTAGTTTGCCGAGGCAGCGAAACTTTCGTCTAGATTTGTTTCCTTCCATTTTGAATTCTTGGTCTTCGTACTATCACGGAATTGTGATAATGGGCAATTTTAACGTCCATATTGGTGAGGAAATTGATTCACATTTGAATGTGGTTTCTCCTAACATTTTTGATATCAAACAGTCAAAGGATTTTAAGGTCGATACGGCAGGGAGACAGTTTCTGCGTTGGTTGATTGAACACGATTTTATTCTTTTTCTATGTCATACTAAGGGAGATTTTCCAGGTGAATTAACTTTTTGTCGAAAGTGGGTAGCTCAGTTATAGACTTTATAGTCATTTTTCTGAATCTGGTTCATATGATCGAATCCCTTCGTGTTGAATCTCTCATCTTCTGACCATTTTCCAGTGGAATTACAGCTTTCGACTGGAAATAGTTTTTCCTTTGTTGATGGGCCTCGTTTAGTTTGGAATGATTCTAAAGTAAAAGTGTTTGGTGATGCAGTATCGCAGAGTTCTAGAATATAAACTTTGATTCTGAGCCCGTTAATGATTTCTATGGTTAAATTATATTCGAGCTATGCTCTATAGCAGTGTTTCTCAACGGGGGCGATATCGCCCCCATGTGGGAGTTTTTCCATGTTGAGGAGGCGATTAGTAACAATTTATATTTTGGTGGCGAAAAACAATTTTCTGGGCGATATAGTAAAACATTATATTAAGAATAATTAGATATTTTATTCGTTATATCGTACAATAATTAAACAAACAAATAACATTATATTAGTCACTAGTCTATTCAATGCAGTACGAATTTGGCGTTAGCCTTTGCCCTGGGCATCGGAATTTTGAAGTGAAGGGGGCGATACTACGTAACGGTTTTATTGAAGGGGCGATACTACGTAACGGTTTTATTGAAGGGGCGATACTACGTTGAAGGGGGCGACGACTCGTTAGAGGTTGAGAAACACTGCTCTATAGCAAAGAGACGAAATGTGTTAATTGAAGGTGCTGAACCTTACAGGAGGACTCGTCCCCCTTGGTTTGATAGGTCTTGCTACGTCCAGAAGCGAGGAACATTGCCCTGGGCAAGTTTCGCAGATCTAATAGTCTGGCTGATTTGGCTTCCTTTTAAGATTTGAAACTACAATATAATTCACTTATTAGGGCGAAAAAGAGGAAGTATTTTTGTAATTATGCCTTACAGTTGGCTGGGATTAGGTACTCTAGGATTTTTTTGTTATGGGGTTGGTCGTTTTTGTCAGGTCAGAGCATACCAGACCAAGAGATTTCTTTGACCGACTGGTTTATTTACTATCAACAGTTATTTAGTTTAAATACGTCGAATTTACCCCGATCCTGTGTCTACCGATGGCTTCTCTTGTTGTTGATCCTATCTTAGACCTTTCTGTCTCTAATTTAGAGATAAATACATCAATTCAAAATATGCGAATTTGCTCCAGGAATGGACAATATTTCACCGTCTTTAATTGTTTACTCTAGGGCTACTTTGGTTCCTTACTTGGCCAAGTTATTTAATCGGGTTTATGACACTGGTAAAATTCCGAAATCGTGGTTGGAGGTAACGTCTTCAACCACGTAAAAGTTATCCATAAAAAAGGTCCAATAGATGAGCCCGCTAACTTTCGATCAATATTACTGTTACCTGTATTTCGAAAAATTTTTACATCTATTTTGGCTAATAGATTGGGTATTTGGCTAAGAGAGCGGAATTTGATTCAACCAGTGCAATTTGCTTTCCAACCTCGGAAGAGTACTTTGAACAACATTCTGATTGAACACTCCATTATTTGTAGACAACTTTTAAAGAAAAGACAACGTTTACTTGCAGCCTTTATAGACTACGAAAAAGCTTTTGACAGTGTTGTTTTGAAAATTTTGTTATCCAAATTAAAAATGCTTGGGATCTCTGACAAGTTTACTGATATTATTCAATGTTTATTATCAGGACTTAAAGCAAGGATTTCGATTAGTGCTGGGTTTACTGATGCTCTTTCATTAGAAAAAGCATTTACCACAGGATTATTCCTTATGTCCGATATTGTTTATTTGCTACGTTAATGATATGCTACAAGTTTTTGATGATTTAAATAAACATTTCATTTCTCTGAATGATTACGAAGTGCATTTACCGTACTCTAATTTGTCGACGATACAGTGGTGTTATCCACTACCCCAATTTATCTACAAAGGAAATTGGACAGGTTTTATAATTATTCTTCTACTTTGGGTTTGCGTATTAATTTATTAAAGTCGAAAATAATAATTTTTAGACATTGTAGAAGACTGAGAAAGGCTGATAAGTTTTTATTAAATGGAAGAGATATCAGTGTTGTTAAGGAAGTTATATATTTGGGGATTCGTTTCTCAGCTACTGGTTCGTTCCAAAATTATACTTATTACGTTAAAGTCAAACCATTTCCTAAAATAATTGTAATAGATATCTTGAGACGGGTTAAGAACAGTCATATGGCTTTGTGTAAGAAACTTGCTGCCTCTCTATTTACTGCGAGTTAGTCTTATGGTCTGCCCTTTTGAGGGCCATTTTGTTTTGAAGACATCGACTCTATAGAACTGATGTTCTTTCGTCGTCTTTTTGCGGTCGTTCCCATCGTATGCAATTAGATCTGAATTGGGCCTTGAGTTTCCCCGGAAACGCTTTGTTAAATTAACCTTAAATTTTCTCATAAACATAATCTCTGACTCATCATCTTTGGAATGTGAGGCTTATTTTACCTTGAAGAAGTTTTCAACGACCATATCGCTAAAATATTGTTGGTTCACTAAACTGGAGGGTTTATTTAATAGAATAGGTATCTCACTCTCCTTAATAGATTCATCCCCAGATGTTTTGAAATATTACACAAATACTATCTTACAAGAGTTTGACAATCTTTTCTTGAGAGAAGAAGGTGACATGGTTCTTAAGACTAAGTACCATCATGGTATCCAAAAATATTAGACAACAGTCGAAGTTTTTACATTTATCAGCAGTTACCGTTTATTATTTAAAAACGGTACAGATTCGCCTAAATATGTTTCCTTTAACATGGAAACACTTGTGCATTGATATACGTTCACCAGATATGTGTCTGTATTGTAAAAAAGGAAATGCGACCTTAAATCCTACTATTACTACATGTTTGACTGTGAGGATCTTCAATATTTGCGTCTGTCAACACTTTCTAATAGTGTTCTTTGTACTATTAATGTTATTTGTAAAGATCTAACAGATAGAATTTGTGTACTATTCTCCATCAACGACTCAGTCGAGTTCATTTGGTGTAAATATAATTTATTAACCAAAGTAATTAATGTAACTCCTCCTAAAAATGAATTTTATGTATGGAGTCTTCAAATCAATAAAAAGGAATAACTAAAAATAAATAAAATATCTCATACAAAAAGTATTGAGTGTCCTCACTTGTATCATACCAATTGTTATGTCTTAACATAATTATTTGAAGTATCTATTCTATTTTTACACTTAAAATATTTAGCAGCAAAGTATGACAGGTATTCACGAAATTACTATCTTATTTTCAATAATAACTTTGGCATTTTAAATCTGACGATAAGTTTAATTTTCAGAAAAAAATGAGTGAAGATTATGTTTGGAAGATTGCTGCAATTGATGTAAATATCTATCTTAAATTTTCAGTTATATTAAATAAAGATTTTAACGTTATTTCGAATTTTTAGCGAGCATCGAAAATGAAGTTGACCAAATCAAAAAAAGAAGTCATTTCGGGTTTTTATTTTCATGTATTTAAGATACTTCAAGAAAAGATGAAATTTAGGTAACATTAAAAGGGGCATTTTATTTTATATAGTATATAAAATTAATTAATAAATCATATGTTAAATATAATAAGAGTTATTTCTCCAAATTCTGTATAGATACGAAATTGTTCAACCTGTTCCGAAAGAATTCTTAGAGAAGAAAAATGGAACATATTATGGAATTAGTGGGCAAGTAATTAACAAGGTACTTTACACTTAATATGGCATTATAACTATATATACTGTTTAATTTCTTATTATGTTGAATGAATTCTGTTATGTTGCATCTTGCTGTACAAAAAATTTTTTATGATGAAAATTTTTACGTTAATTAAACAATTAAATAAACAGAATACATATTTANTTAGAAGAGTTAGATATAAAAATATATTTTTATAACCGGAATCTATGAAAATTAATATGATTTTTGTGTAAAAAAATTGAATAAATAAGTAAAATTTTGGTCGAAAAAAACGTGTTTAAAGTATTAAAATGCTTAGAATTAACTGAGTTTTGAATATAGAACTACAACTTTAATTATAGAATTATAAATACCTAACGTAACATAATGTTATATAGATTAAAAAAACTGAAGATATTTGATAGGAAAATATATAGGAAATAAGAAAATTTCCAAAAGGAAATGATCAAAGTAAAATCTTGATTAAGGAAAGTAAGGAGAAGAATACTAATTAGTTAAAGAAAGCAGTAAAAATGTTAGAATTTGGATGATCATTAGATAAATATAATAAAAAATTACTGATTAAATAACTTAATATAATATTTATTAATTCAATTATAAATAATATATTAAAGTATATATTTATATACGTTATTAATCTTTATTATATGATATATTTTTTATTGAATTAATAAATAAATATATTCAAGTTTTATTTTTTTCTGCCAATAGAAATAATGTATATTTTATTATAAGCTATAAAAATATATTATACGTGTCATATTATAGTATAAAAATCGTGTAATTCTTTACTGTATCATTATTTAAAATTTCAAATCGTGCAGATTAAATATTTATCTTACCTTGAAGCAAAATGCAAACACGAAACTTCGTATATGAGTTGATATAAATGAAATTAAAAGGTTATGCAAACAAAATAATAGAAGACTTTTTTAAATTAAACGTTCATTACCATAAACAAATAATTTTATTCGTCTTTACGATACATTATTACAGCAAAAAACACGATCATTAATCATCTTTCTGATAATGTAGTCTACTTACGTCTTTTTCTATATATTTACAAGCAAGAAGACACGTATAAAATATTTCTCTGTAACTACAGCTAAAGTTTAATGATTTTATTTATTTATTTTAATTAATTAATGAATAATAACGTTATTTATTTTGTATTAAAATGAAAAAAAGGAGGATATCTTCGTGTTGAAAGTCTATCTTGAGTTTTTTATATATTAAATAAAGGATGGAAAGTGATGTAAATAAAGAAGGAAAATTGCATTGTAATTAATATACAGATGCTGGAAAAATAAAATAAAATTTAGAATTTATCATTATTTTTATTTATAAATTTTACTTAAAAATTAATTATTTATTTTTTATCAAAACAAATCGTTATTATTTCAGGATTGTGATTAACTTCTTGGCAATTCTCTTGTTTACTTTATAGATTATTCGAAAAAATGATTATTTCATCTTATTCAAACGTTAATTTCAAGTATTAACAAGTGAAATTTGTATAAAAAAATTATATTAATATATTTAAATATTATAATAAATTAATTATACATAATTTAATATTCTTTTTCTCATTATAGATTATATTATTTTAATTTGTAATTGTTAAATTAAAATTATTTATAAGATTGATTTAATATACATAGAAACTGTAATGTACTGTAATTCTTTACTGTACTGTATTACTATACTACACTGTATTATACTGTACTGCAGTGTTTTACTGTATGTAATTGTACTGTACTGTAATGTTTTATTATGCTGTTCATTAATGCCACTAACTTTATCAGGAAAAAGACCTAGAAATTAGAAACAATTTCGTGTAATTTTATGATAATTAATTTAAATTTTAACATCATTTTATTCGGTTTCATGCAGGAAGCAGATATGACAGCAATTCCTTTGTTTATGACAAGTAATGAGTCTGAATTAGCAGATTTCACTTCCCTGATTAACGTACATTCCATAAGTTTCATAATTAAACAAAGAAAAGTCGAAACATCTTGGCAAACCATAACTCGCCCGTTTCCAATTGAAGTAAGTTTTCTTTCTTTCTTGTGTACAATTTATCTTTCTTTTTAACTAAGACTTTATTCATCGACAGAGGGAACACACAACCAGAGAGGAATAAAATCATATTAAAATGCCTTTATTATCTTTTGTTTCCTATTTAATGGTATGTGTTCTCTCTGTTCGATATAATAAGTTCTTGTTAAAAAGAAAGTCCAAGTAGACAATTTATATTAAATGTAAAAATTAAAACACCAGAAGCAGAAGCTTCAAGTTTTATTTAGTTTCTCTAATGATTAACTTTCATGTATTTAATTATAAATATAAGTAAGAATTTACTATTTAAACATGCAATTTATTTAGGGATGCAGTTGCACCTCATTCTAAGGGGTTTTCTTCTAGTAATTCAGAGTACCTCAGGTAGTAAACATTTTTGTAAAGCATATTATTACTTGTCTGCAACACACTAACAACTTTTGAATTCGCTATTGAGTCTATAAATTTTGCAGTTTTTTAAAATCCAATAACTGATTAAATCTAAATATTACAATTTTTACTAAGTTTCTTATATCATTTGTTGACCTATAAATTCTAAAACTGTATTATGGTATCTTGAAAATTATGATTTACTCCTCTTTCATAAAGAGAAAATTAACTGTAAAGTTTATAAATTATACTATTTTGGAGTTGTCCGTAAATTACGTAACGAAGATTTAGGTTAATGGGTTGGCAGATATTCATTACAATGCGTTACAATAAGATAAGGAAATTTACAGAAATGTTATGTAATCCTGGAATATCAATCATTGGATAACAAAAGGATTAAGTTTTCTTTTTGAAAAGTTGCATAGTGAACCGTGCTATTTATATCACTGCTTTATACGCTGTACTTTTAATTAAAAAAATTTTCTAGGGATCGTATTTTTGCACTGAATAATAGTACAGTTAAAGGTATGCATTACGTAATTTCGGGAGTGGGTACGGGCCGTTACGGAGATGGTGGTTGAAAAGCATAAGAATAATGTTACGTAATTTATAGACCATCTATTTGCAATAAATTATTTTCGTAAGAATATTGTCAAATTTCGCTATGTCAGTAGACAAAAATATGGGAAACGATTTTTATAATAAAGAATCTTATTTTAAATGTAATCATTACTGGAGAAATATTGCTTAATTAATGGATAAAATCCATAACGATGGAACGAAAATGTTTTTGTTATCGTTTTGTACCTACATTTACCGTAGAAATCAGTAAATTGCTGTGGTACGTTCGCTAGAAATGCTATTTAACTACTGCAATTCCAATATATTTGTATCATGGGGATAAGTGTAACGGGTCACGAAGACTATAATATTGTGCCTGTCCCAGTGTTGTAACGGTTCCTGAAAGGAATTAGGTATTTTCTGAGATAAGGAAAGAAAGTTGAGTGAAAATTATGAATGAGACTAAAATTGACCGTATATAGACAAGAGTTATGTTAATCTTGACAGAAAGATGTTGCTATTTACTTGAGAAGAATTGCATTCGTTTCAGAAAGGATCTAGAAAAAATCTGGAACTTATAGAGGTAATAGAACTTGCTAACCTTCTAAAACGAAAATCAAAACAAACTGAATGTAAAGAGCTTTCGTATCAACTTTAAGAAATTCGAAAGCCAAAAGTCATGTAGTATGCCTATATGAATAAAATAATTGTGATAAAAACAATAATAAAATGGTAATTATCTGGTAACTATTAGTATACATCCGTGTTATAGAGACTAAGGGAATATATTTTACAGAATTATTCTTCATAAAATGAACTTCGTTTACGGGAGATTTAAATGTGAAGGTCTAAAACCCTTTTGATTTAGAACAGTATCACCCCTCTAATAAACCTCGTGATTTATTACCTCGTAAGTGAGGAAAAGGGGGACTTCTGAGGTCAATGACCGAGACGCACTCCTCGAATAAAAAAAAACGGGGAATGTTAAAATATCAATAAAAGAAATCTCCTCTATTTGTTTAACAGTAATTCTATAGACGTTAATATCAACAAGACGGGAATAAGAAATGTTTCTTATCTCCTCTTTGGTTGCACGTGACACGTGGTTACAGCAATAAATCGCCTCATTCGAAGCCAAACGCGACGTTTAATATAAACAATATCTACATTGTTGATCAGTTTACAGAAATTATTGTCAGCTGAATGTTAATTTGTGGATGAGAACGGTCAAAGCTATAGAAATTTATATTATAAAATCATATCTTCTAGACGCCAATATCAATAAATTAAACAAACTTCTCTGTGCTAGTGGTTCGTACTAGCTAGATCCAGACGTCAACACACTAACAGGTGTGCGTATAAATCAATAATAATGTCATAGTTCTCACCCCTCAAAAATAGTATAAAGAGGGCTTGGACGCAGTCCTCAAGGCGGACATCGACTGCCACATCAACTGATCCATACCGCCACCATATCCGTTGCTACCTCGCCATAACTATCGTGACGATCCAGGAACGTTTTTACCAACGACCCATATTAAGGATTGGGAACTTAGAGGCATTTTTTTTAGATATCTATTTGTATACTCTCTCTCTCTCGTCTCTTAATTTAACTTAGAGAATAGAAATTAGATGATCCATAAAAATGACGAATTGTCGCGGCGTAGAATAGAATTTTTGTAGCTCTTCACTTTTGCCTTTGATATGTGCAATTTTATAGTTGTTTATTAAATGTATTATTCTTGTTCAACCTGTGTATTTATTTGGGAACTTGTCAACTTACTCATTAACCTCCCCACTCATTTCATTTTGCCCTCCAATAAAGCTATTCTCTGACAGAGCCGCCGGTAAGTGGGGACAATTAACACCCTCGGTACTCACATAAAAATTGTTTGAATGCCATAGCTTTTCATATATATTATGGCCAAAATACATTTTATTGGATGCTGATTTTCAGATTAAATTCAAGTTTGTCATAATGTGAGCTGTATACAAATTATATTTCTTAGTTATTTAATACATAAAAACTATATTTTCAATGTAATACTGATTTAAATAAGATTCCAATTGCATGATTATTGTTTAAAATAAATTAAATAGAACCAGACCATGTACAAAGATGCATTTATTTGGATACAAGAATAATGCATCGATTGTTTTGTCGAAATACTTTATTAGTTTACGGTAAATTACCACTCTATAAATGCATTTCAAAGTCTTTGAGTCCTTTATGGGTATAAAGAAAAACATCTAAAGTAATTTGTTATATTTTAAATTTCAAACAACCAAATCAAAAGTAACTTAAATATTTGATAAGAATCCTATTTATATACATTAATAAGTAAAAACAAATCAAATATATTGTCGGTAATTCGACCTTTTTTGTATTTAAATGCATTTCTCAACGAGGGTACTCTTATGAATGTAACAAATATAATTCGGGCCTACTGTATAGCATATAATACGCTGACTGCTGACAAATAAATATTGAAAACATTTGATTTTAATTAAAAATAGGTATGGATAGCAATTATCATATCAACAATAGTAGCCGGTTTTTTCATTTCTCGAATTCTTACGCTTGAAAACAACTTGCATAAATTTAAAAATATTTGGACTATTCAAGATGGAATTTGGTTTACATTCACAAATATGAGCCGACAAGGTATAGTGTATTTATCATTCAATTTTGTTGAATCAATTTTAGTCGTTAGAAAATTTAATTTAATAAATGAATTAATTTTTTTTTTTTTTTAAATTTGCATACATATTTCAGGATTTAATATCAATCCCGTTATCGGATTTTCATCCAGATTAACAGTTGGAATTTGGCTGCTTGGCGTGTCTGTACTGGGATACGGTTATGGAGGAATATTAATGTCCTTTTTGACAGCTCCACAGTACGAATGGATACCGAACAATTTTCACGAGTTATCTTCTGCCGTGGAAAGAGGAGAGTTTTCTTGTGGCACATTTTCTAACGGTAGAGACTTATTGTTTCAGGTATGTAAACCTATTACATTGAGAAACATTTATCAAAGTATTAAATAAACGAACTTTTATATACTGATATACCGTCACGTCACATTATAGCCGTATATAGAAGTGATTGTTATAGGAGACAACATTATAGGTACTAATATAATACATCTGTTGTTCATTGCCTATATTTATGTTTAAATTTAAGTTGTCAATATCCAAAATATGTTAACATTTTATTTTACATTTACATTGATATGGTAAAAAATATAAAATTTTCTTCATTCAATCTAACAGAGAGAAACTACACTGGGATGCGCAAAGAAGGTGCAATTTAGTGTTGTAACTTTATTTACTGTACTGTACGTTGAGTTGACGACTTTATTTTATGGAAACTTTCGAAACAACTACAACAGAGAAATTTATTGAGTTTTTAAAATAAATATATATTGTTCGGTTTATGCAAAAAGCACATTTTACTCTTATTTTTTTGTTTCATATTTGACAATTTAATTTCCAAAATTATCATATGTAATATCTGTAGGAAGTGTAATACAGTATTTTAGTATCTACTGTAATTTCTAATATTTTTGTTCTTCAACTTCCCTGTTTTGTTTTATGTTGTTATTTTTCATTTTTTATTGGGCTGCAATTTGAAAAAAACTTTAGACCTATAAATTTCCACTATTATTTATCCGTCCGTCATTTCTTAATCTCCAAAACGGAGTTAGATAAAGGAAAGACCGAAATGGAAACAGTAAGGGTAAGAGGCCCCGATTAACTATATACAAACTTCTGGTGCAAACCGAAAGTCGTGTTATTTCAATTCAAAGTTTTCTCCGAAAGGCATTAGAGAGATGGCTGATACTACTCAATTGTTAAAGGAAAAGTATGATGCATAGATGCAAAGAGCATATATTTTAAATTAAATAAATTAAAAATATGATTAAAAATTGCAGCCTGGCTTTGTGACTATGTCACAATAAATAATCGCTCGTTTAGTTTTTATTTTACTGTGATTTTGTTTTTTAGTTAGTTTTCTTTAAGTGAGAGAAATAGTGTAGAATTTTTTTCACTTTGCGTCTTTTGTTTTGGTTTATAATACAATTTACAATCGAAAAATACAATACATTACAATTTTCTATGAATTAAGCCACAACTGTCACTTAGGTTTGTAAATAGTTTCTAACACAACACAATAATTGTTTAAAAGAGACCACTTTTTTTGTTTGTTATAAATTGCCATTATTTGGGATTGTATATAAATACTTGTTTTCATTTTAATTTTAGGCCTATATCGTCTTACATTGAGAATTAAATGTGGACAGATGTTTCTGCTAAATTGATTTATGCCATTTAACAATGTAAAAGTTTTGTGTTTTATGAGAAGCATAAGGGAAACTTCCCCTGGTGTTTTAAACAAAGTTTTATTTATTCTCACAAAGCATTAGTTCATTTTATCTTCTGTATTGTTACAAATGACAAAAATCCAAACGTATTTAATAATTTAAATTACCCGTAATCACAGAATATTAATTTTCTACTAAAATTTTTTAGAGTTCATAAATATAAGGGAATTCTTTTTTGGTTTTACTTACCAATGTGGTATTTATTGTAGGCGAGGTTCTTGTAAGTGGCAATATTACTTCATTTACACAAAAACCCTATTATTTTATTACATTGGAAATTTTTTGAACATATTGTTTTTCACTTAATGTGTAATGTTAATGTTCTTTTTTTTTACAGGGAGCCGAAACTGGAATTGCAAATACATTAAGAAATCATATTGATGTAAACCAAAATTACATGCAAGTGTTTGATGCCACTACGAAAATTAAAAACGAACATTTCGCATTTATTGGTGCTAAACCTGGCTTAATACGCAAACTGAAAAGACATTTAAAAGACAGAATTATAATAAGCGATGATTCTCTGCTCTCATTTAACCTTGCATTTCTTGTAAGAAAGCAATTTCCTTTCAAAAAGGAGATTAACAGGAAGTATGATTATTACTTAGTTAATGTAAATATTATATTCCAATTACTCAAGCTTTGAAAATTTTATTTTGAAATATTTTGTAGAATATCTCATTTGTTCGAATCCGGAATAATTAGTTATCAGGAAAGCAAACTGGATCCTCCAGAGAATTCGATCGACGAAGACATTCTTGCTCCATTAAACATGACAGAACTGTTCGGAAGCTTTATTCTTTTAATAATTGGCTGTTTATTCTCTCTTCTTTGTTTCATTGGAGAAGTGTTGACCAGAAAAACAAAAGTACTTTTACCATTTAAAAAGAAATAATATTTCTGCTAAATTAAACGTCGTTAATATACATTAATCCCTTGAAGTATAGCACTTATTAAATGTAGTCACATATACGATGTAAATTAACTTACTATTTAGATTTATAAGAGTAGATAACAACGGATATAAATAGTATAGACTTACTTTCTAATATTAAAATATTTATATAACTATATATAAATAATACCTGCATTAAATTTTTTTCTGAATTTTACATTAACAAATTGTACGAGGGTTGTCTAATATTAAAGGTACTGTACAAGCCAAAATTACACTAGTATTTATAATTGAAAAAATATTTAATACATTCCACAAAACACTACATACTTTTGTTTATTTCTCGCCATAATCTCAGTAAACGTTGAGACATTTATCTCAGCGTGACACTAGTTTGAACATCTCTTCATGGTACTGTTGCTTGTCAAGTTGCTTGAAGTAGTCCAGAACGATATCTTGCAATTTCTCCTGATTCGTAAATAATTTTCCTGCCAAAAATTTCTTTAAAGGTCCAAATAAACGAAAATTCGAGGATGCTAAATTTTGACTATACTCCATACATCAAATCAAATTAAACTGTGTTTGGAACGTCGGAATTGGAAGGTCCTGCAACATCTTTCATTTAGTCCAGATTTAAATTAACCCTCCTTGGATTTTTATTTATTTGAACCTTTAAAGAAACTTTAGGCAGGGGAATGCTTTGCGAATTAGGAGAAATTGCAAGATATCGTTCTGGACTACTTCAAGCAACTTGACAAGCAACAGTACCGTGAAGAGATGTTCAAACTAGTGTCACTCTGGGATAAATGTTTCAACGTTTACTGAGATTATGTCGAGAAATAAACAAAAGTATGTAGATTTTTGTGCAATGTATTAAATATTTTTTAATTATAAATTTTAGTGTAATTTTGGCTTGTACCTTCAATATCAGACACCCCTCATAATCACAGTTGTAAATTGTCATATTTTACTGTATTCATATATTTGAAAGTTTTAACATTTAAAAAGCCACAGTCAATAGCTTTAGAAATGAATAGAATTATGTATTTTTCTTATGATCTTATAAGATTACAAGAATAAAATTTTCATAAATGCTAATGTTATTCATTACATTATTAATGTTTATTTTGTGGGGTAAAATAATTTGGAAATATTTTACGTTTATTTAAATCNTTTATTTATTAAACTTTTCTTTTTTATCTTTACTTTTTATTATATATATTTTTATCAACAACAAATAACCTATTATCTTTCATTTGTGACATATTAGTGTTGAGACTTCTTGCCCAGGCTAACTACATCGATAAACGTCGTTTCGAGTTTCTCGATGTAACATACTTAACTAGTTAAGCTTTAAACAGAGTGAATAAAATCGTGCCCCACACTCTGACATCCATACATGAAGAGAGAAACCCACAGAAAAACCCAATTGCTTAATGTTTCGAGGTCCCCTGAATCCAAAAATGTAAAAATCTTGAGGGAGGGTCATTATATGACTCGCCCTACTTTCCCTCTGTAATATATAACAGCCGGGAAAGTAAAAATAATGTACAATAGAAAAATTGAAATTGTCGTGTTCGCTAGGGCCTGTAACTTTCTACTGTTTAGCTCTTTCTTAACATTAGATTATCCATACCTATATTATCTATCGAAACGAACTAACAAATGATGGGAAACTAATGGATCACAGGGCATAATATAAGATTGGCTTTAATGATTTCTTTTCTTTTTTCATAGTCGTCACAGAATTCTAGTAAATATGAAAATTGCCCAAGTGTCATTCAGCAGCTCAACGCCAGACAAAAGTGGCTGGGTGTTCACGTGAACCAACTCGAGCAGACAATAACTTTCTTTTCCAAAATCATATTCGAATTTCTTTTACAACATGTCTCCAACCAACACTTATTGAAAATATGATTTAAGTAATAATAATTCATTGTGTAAAATATTATAGTTTGAAAAGCTGTGAATTTTCCATATTAATTCTATATTACATATGATTAAATACTTTTTATTTATTTTATATTATTAAGTGTTACTCTTGAAATATTTAAATATTTAATATAAATAACAAATATAATAAAATAGTAAATAATACATTTTAAAATAAAAATTATTTCTTTAGTTTTACCTCGTATATTATATTACAGGTTATTTTATATTACTGTAAAATATTCTGTAAGAATATAGAAATAAATGTTATTTTTATTAAATGAAAATAATTTTGTTTTTTAATATAATTAATTTAAATTTTAACATCATTTTATTCGGTTTCATGCAGGAAGCAGATATGACAGCAATTCCTTTGTTTATGACAAGTAATGAGTCTGAATTAGCAGATTTCACTTCCCTGATTAACGTACATTCCATAAGTTTCATAATTAAACAAAGAAAAGTCGAAACATCTTGGCAAACCATAACTCGCCCGTTTCCAATTGAAGTAAGTTTTCTTTCTTTCTTGTGTACAATTTATCTTTCTTTTTAACTAAGACTTTATTCATCGACAGAGGGAACACACAACCAGAGAGGAATAAAATCATATTAAAATGCCTTTATTATCTTTTGTTTCCTATTTAATGGTATGTGTTCTCTCTGTTCGATATAATAAGTTCTTGTTAAAAAGAAAGTCCAAGTAGACAATTTATATTAAATGTAAAAATTAAAACACCAGAAGCAGAAGCTTCAAGTTTTATTTAGTTTCTCTAATGATTAACTTTCATCTATTTAATTATAAATATAAGTAAGAATTTACTATTTAAACATGCAATTTATTTAGGGATGCAGTTGCACCTCATTCTGAGGGTTTTTCTTCTAGTAATTCAGAGTACCTCAGGTAGTAAAAATTTTTGTAAAGCATATTATTACTTGTCTGCAACACACTAACAACTTTTGAATTCGCTATTGAGTCTATAAATTTTGCAGTTTTTTAAAATCCAATAACTGATTAAATCTAAATATTACAATTTTTACTAAGTTTCTTATATCATTTGTTGACCTATAAATTCTAAAACTGTATTATGGTATCTTGAAAATTATGATTTACTCCTCTTTCATAAAGAGAAAATTAACTGTAAACTTTATAAATTATACTATTTTGGAGTTGTCCGTAAATTACGTAACGCAGATTTAGGTTATTGGGTTGGCAGATATTCATTACAATGCGTTACAATAAGATAAGGGAATTTACAGAAATGTTATGTAATCCTGGAATATCAATCATTGGATAACAAAAGGATTAAGTTTTCTTTTTGAAAAGTTGCATAGTGAACCGTGCTATTTATATCACTGCTTTATACGCTGTATTTTTAATTAAAAAAATTTTCTAGGGATCGTATTTTTGCACTGAATAATAGTACAGTTAAAGGTATGCATTACGTAATTTCGGGAGTGGGTACGGGCCGTTACGGAGATGGTGGTTGAAAAGCATAAGAATAATGTTACGTAATTTATAGACCATCTATTTGCAATAAATTATTTTCGTAAGAATATTGTCAAATTTCGCTATGTCAGTAGACAAAAATATGGGAAACGATTTTTATAATAAAGAATCTTATTTTAAATGTAATCATTACTGGAGAAATATTGCTTAATTAATGGATAAAATCCATAACGATGGAACGAAAATGTTTTTGTTATCGTTTTGTACCTACATTTACCGTAGAAATCAGTAAATTGCTGTGGTACGTTCGCTAGAAATGCTATTTAACTACTGCAATTCCAATATATTTGTATCATGGGGATAAGTGTAACGGGTCACGAAGACTATAATATTGTGCCTGTCCCAGTGTTGTAACGGTTCCTGAAAGGAATTAGGTATTTTCTGAGATAAGGAAAGAAAGTTGAGTGAAAATTATGAATGAGACTAAAATTGACCGTATATAGACAAGAGTTATGTTAATCTTGACAGAAAGATGTTGCTATTTACTTGAGAAGAATTGCATTCGTTTCAGAAAGGATCTAGAAAAAATCTGGAACTTATAGAGGTAATAGAACTTGCTAACCTTCTAAAACGAAAATCAAAACAAACTGAATGTAAAGAGCTTTCGTATCAACTTTAAGAAATTCGAAAGCCAAAAGTCATGTAGTATGCCTATATGAATAAAATAATTGTGATAAAAACAATAATAAAATGGTAATTATCTGGTAACTATTAGTATACATCCGTGTTATAGAGACTAAGGGAATATATTTTACAGAATTATTCTTCATAAAATGAACTTCGTTTACGGGAGATTTAAATGTGAAGGTCTAAAACCCTTTTGATTTAGAACAGTATCACCCCTCTAATAAACCTCGTGATTTATTACCTCGTAAGTGAGGAAAAGGGGGACTTCTGAGGTCAATGACCGAGACGCACTCCTCGAATAAAAAAAAACGGGGAATGTTAAAATATCAATAAAAGAAATCTCCTCTATTTGTTTAACAGTAATTCTATAGACGTTAATATCAACAAGACGGGAATAAGAAATGTTTCTTATCTCCTCTTTGGTTGCACGTGACACGTGGTTACAGCAATAAATCGCCTCATTCGAAGCCAAACGCGACGTTTAATATAAACAATATCTACATTGTTGATCAGTTTACAGAAATTATTGTCAGCTGAATGTTAATTTGTGGATGAGAACGGTCAAAGCTATAGAAATTTATATTATAAAATCATATCTTCTAGACGCCAATATCAATAAATTAAACAAACTTCTCTGTGCTAGTGGTTCGTACTAGCTAGATCCAGACGTCAACACACTAACAGGTGTGCGTATAAATCAATAATAATGTCATAGTTCTCACCCCTCAAAAATAGTATAAAGAGGGCTTGGACGCAGTCCTCAAGGCGGACATCGACTGCCACATCAACTGATCCATACCGCCACTGTATCCGTTGCTACCTCGCCATAACTGCCGTGACGATCCAGGAACGTTTTTACCAACGACCCATATTACGGATTGGGAACTTAGAGGTATTTTTATAGATATCTATTTGTATACTCTCTCTCTCGTCTCTTAATTTAACTTAGAGAATAGAAATTAGATGATCCATAAAAATGACGAATTGTCGCGGCGTAGAATAGAATTTTTGTAGCTCTTCACTTTCGCCTTTGATATGTGCAATTTTATAGTTGTTTATTAAATGTATTATTCTTGTTCAACCTGTGTATTTATTTGGGAACTTGTCAACTTACTCATTAACCTCCCCACTCATTTCATTTTGCCCTCCAATAAAGCTATTCTCTGACAGAGCCGCCGGTAAGTGGGGACAATTAACACCCTCGGTACTCACATAAAAATTGTTTGAATGCCATAGCTTTTCATATATATTATGGCCAAAATACATTTTATTGGATGCTGATTTTCAGATTAAATTCAAGTTTGTCATAATGTGAGCTGTATACAAATTATATTTCTTAGTTATTTAATACATAAAAACTATATTTTCAATGTAATACTGATTTAAATAAGATTCCAATTGCATGATTATTGTTTAAAATAAATTAAATAGAACCAGACCATGTACAAAGATGCATTTATTTGGATACAAGAATAATGCATCGATTGTTTTGTCGAAATACTTTATTAGTTTACGGTAAATTACCACTCTATAAATGCATTTCAAAGTCTTTGAGTCCTTTATGGGTATAAAGAAAAACATCTAAAGTAATTTGTTATATTTTAAATTTCAAACAACCAAATCAAAAGTAACTTAAATATTTGATAAGAATCCTATTTATATACATTAATAAGTAAAAACAAATCAAATATATTGTCGGTAATTCGACCTTTTTTGTATTTAAATGCATTTCTCAACGAGGGTACTCTTATGAATGTAACAAATATAATTCGGGCCTACTGTATAGCATATAATACGCTGACTGCTGACAAATAAATATTGAAAACATTTGATTTTAATTAAAAATAGGTATGGATAGCAATTATCATATCAACAATAGTAGCCGGTTTTTTCATTTCTCGAATTCTTACGCTTGAAAACAACTTGCATAAATTTAAAAATATTTGGACTATTCAAGATGGAATTTGGTTTACATTCACAAATATGAGCCGACAAGGTATAGTGTATTTATCATTCAATTTTGTTGAATCAATTTTAGTCGTTAGAAAATTTAATTTAATAAATGAATTAATTTTTTTTTTTTTTTAAATTTGCATACATATTTCAGGATTTAATATCAATCCCGTTATCGGATTTTCATCCAGATTAACAGTTGGAATTTGGCTGCTTGGCGTGTCTGTACTGGGATACGGTTATGGAGGAATATTAATGTCCTTTTTGACAGCTCCACAGTACGAATGGATACCGAACAATTTTCACGAGTTATCTTCTGCCGTGGAAAGAGGAGAGTTTTCTTGTGGCACATTTTCTAACGGTAGAGACTTATTGTTTCAGGTATGTAAACCTATTACATTGAGAAACATTTATCAAAGTATTAAATAAACGAACTTTTATATACTGATATACCGTCACGTCACATTATAGCCGTATATAGAAGTGATTGTTATAGGAGACAACATTATAGGTACTAATATAATACATCTGTTGTTCATTGCCTATATTTATGTTTAAATTTAAGTTGTCAATATCCAAAATATGTTAACATTTTATTTTACATTTACATTGATATGGTAAAAAATATAAAATTTTCTTCATTCAATCTAACAGAGAGAAACTACACTGGGATGCGCAAAGAAGGTGCAATTTAGTGTTGTAACTTTATTTACTGTACTGTACGTTGAGTTGACGACTTTATTTTATGGAAACTTTCGAAACAACTACAACAGAGAAATTTATTGAGTTTTTAAAATAAATATATATTGTTCGGTTTATGCAAAAAGCACATTTTACTCTTATTTTTTTGTTTCATATTTGACAATTTAATTTCCAAAATTATCATATGTAATATCTGTAGGAAGTGTAATACAGTATTTTAGTATCTACTGTAATTTCTAATATTTTTGTTCTTCAACTTCCCTGTTTTGTTTTATGTTGTTATTTTTCATTTTTTATTGGGCTGCAATTTGAAAAAATCTTTAGACCTATAAATTTCCACTATTATTTATCCGTCCGTCATTTCTTAATCTCCAAAACGGAGTTAGATAAAGGAAAGACCGAAATGGAAACAGTAAGGGTAAGAGGCCCCGATTAACTATATACAAACTTCTGGTGTAAACCGAAAGTCGTGTTATTTCAATTCAAAGTTTTCTCCGAAAGGCATTAGAGAGATGGCTGATACTACTCAATTGTTAAAGGAAAAGTATGATGCATAGATGCAAAGAGCATATATTTTAAATTAAATAAATTAAAAATATGATTAAAAATTGCAGCCTGGCTTTGTGACTATGTCACAATAAATAATCGTTTAGTTTTTATTTTACTGTGATTTTGTTTTTTAGTTAGTTTTCTTTAAGTGAGAGAAATAGTGTAGAATTTTTTTCACTTTGCGTCTTTTGTTTTGGTTTATAATACAATTTACAATCGAAAAATACAATACATTACAATTTTCTATGAATTAAGCCACAACTG